TCATCCTAATCACCGCATTAGCAGTGACACGGACAGCCAATATCAATGGCCTCAGAGCGCCATCTCTCATCAGTGCGCACCCCAGTCCGCCTCCCTGGTTTCTGGGGGCGGCAGAAAACTCATCAGGGAGGGACCCTGTGGCTTGCGGGTTGTTAACATGGGTTCGGCTCTGGCTCCCCTCCTCCCAGAGCCCTTCATCCCACTATCTGTAGCTCTCAAAGCCCGAGGGGAGAGACAGTGAATCACATGTTGCAAGTTTGCCAGATTTTAACAGCTACACCTGCATCGTTACACATTCTCCAACTGTAACCAGTGTCCAGTCCCATCCACAAGGATATCTAGGGGAAACATTATACAAATGTATATATATATACAATCATCAGATCTGGCACAGAACTGTTAATGATCACCTGACATTCCAGCCAGGTCATGTGACTGCCTTCAATCTCCTACCTTTGTACTGATGCAGGTCACATATATATTTCAGTTTGGGACTAAATCCATAGGCAGTGGATCCGTTTTAATATGTAACCATGAAAGGGCTGACCTCTGTGGCCTGACCTATTGAACTCTTCTTCTTTGCTCTCATATGTGGGCTTCTATCTAGAGATAAACAAACAGCCGAGTATCCAGCATTTTATTAGGTTGCTGGCTTTGTGATAATAAACCTTTGATTTTATTCCATGAGCAGAGGACCCTAACATGCCAAGCCAGAGTGAATTATTTCCTTCTCTCAATACAATATACAGTAAGAAAACAAAAAGAGAGAGAGAGAGAGAGAGAGAGAGTCGCCGGCATGGAACGCCTGGCAGTAAATTCCATTTGAAGAACATTCCAGATGATGCCAATTCCTCCTCAGACTTGAATAGGTTTTATAATACATGACAGAGGCCTGTATGCTATTCAACACCATCTGAAACGCAATCTGCCTCTCGGCCTCCTTCAGATCTCAGATCGTTGTGAGGAGGAATATTGTTTTGTGCAGATTTGTTCAGACACCCCTCAATCTCCAGAACCCAATAAAAAAAAAAAAAAAAAACATCAAGACTGAGGTGGGTTGGGAAGGACGTCACACGGGAAACCGGAGCAAACGGACGCGGCGTCCCCTGAGCATCCCAGCAGAGCAAGAAAGAGTGTTCCAGTATCAGTGGACTCCTATGGACCACTTGTGACTACCGCCAGGAGAGCTGCAGATCCCAGCTAATCCACCCCAGGTGTTTATAGACTGTGAGAGGATCCGCCGCTTTTGGCTGCCATAATCACATAAGCCGCTGACGACTTAAGTCAAATTTCTCCAGTAGGCAAAAACACCACCTCCACACCGTGATAGTGAACCCTGCCTCGCATGCCGACAAGGTCAACATATTGTTGATAAAATATGCACCCTGGTCGTTTGCCAAAAAAAATGCACTTGTCACTATCCAGAAACAGAATCATGCGCCTACAAATGCAGATGAATAGTGCACAACACGTCTCACAATCCACAAAATCCCAGGCACTCCGAATCGGCCAGAGAACCATGCAGTCGGTGTCAGATCGTTTGGCACCAAACTCAATATCATAATGTGGCTCCATCTGTTTCAAACCAGCTTCACAAATGCAAAAGGAATGTTGATTCTTATACTGGAATCAATTTTTCATTGACAAAAAATTTCAACAACAAAGAGTGGTTTCGCTTCTCTTCTGTGTACCTCTGAGTGTCTGAGTGTTCGCAGCATGTCTGTAAATCTGATAATATGCAGAACCAGGAGAAAAGTCCAGACAAACACTGCGGGCTCTGACCCAGGAACTGAACCCAAGGCCTTGGTGCCAAAATAAGACTAGACAAAGACTAGACGATGCTGTGTAAACGTGGACAAATTCTCCAGCTCGCGCAGTGTAAGAGGCACGAGGTCCAGTTCTCATTCACCAAGGTTAATAAATGAAGGCACAGCTAGATGCCTTGTTTTGCATAGTGAAGAGACAGACTGCAGTTAAACCAGTAGCCTGGAACAGCCTTGGAGCTCATTTGCAGGAGCGACTCTGTGGTAAGACCTTGACAAGGCCTAATGAAACTTTAATGCATTTTTACATTAGATGCGCATGTTTTTGCGTGAGCCGTCCTCTCACATGTCTAAATGCATGAAACGGGCCCTGACACCACCTAACATGGACATGTTTGAAGATTCTGTGCCGATACACGTAATGCAAACCTGAAATCTATCAGTGAACAAAATGAAACACAATCCAGCTCTCTGAGATACGTGTTAATGCTAACACACTCCTATTTAAAATTATAACTGAAATAATTACTAAATAGCTGATCTACAAATGACGTGTTCTTTTTTACAAATAAAATTAAAATATTCCTCCCTACTTAACACCAAGTCAACAGCCCCTATATCCTGCAATAACCAAACCTTTGTTAAAGGGGTGCACCGATCCGATATTCAGATCGTTATCGGCACCGATCCAGACATATTAGACGGATCGGATATCGGCCATATGTGACCAATCCACATCCGATACTTACTTATTTGTAGTAAAAATATAGCTCCTGTTTCTCGTTAAATCGATTTGTACGATCAATCGCACGACAGTTATTTCCCATTTCGGATGTTTTTTGCAGCATCCAAGCCAGTCGCTAACGTTGCCACGCAGTACAAATCTTTTTGCCACTCAGTGGGCGGGAGCGGAGTGACTTCCGCCGGCTGTAACGTCACGGGCATACCTTTCCAATACGAAGAGCTTAAGAACCTAAGATAAGAGGGAGACGATCTGGAAGTATTAGTAGCACAGCGATTTGCAGTCTTTGTAAAAACAAAATTTTGAGAGGTGGAAACAGGGTTTAGTGGAAAATCTCACTAAACAAAGCGCACGCGACTGTGCAAGACAACACGAGTAATTTGAAAAAAGAAAAAATGTTTGAAAAAAATGTTGCAATGGATGATTTTGGGAGTCGCTAGCTTGGGTTGCGCACTCCCTACAGCTTGTGATACAGGAGGGGCTGCGATCGCAGCGAAGTGCAAGTGATGCTATTGCCAAAGGGAGAAAAAATCTGGGGCATTTTAAGCGTTCCGCCACTTGCGTATCCACGTTTGGAAGATATTCAAATTGAACTGCAAATGTCTTTAAAACCCTTAAAACAAGATGTACAAGGTGGAACAGTACATTATATATATTTCCTAGTAGCCTACTTAGCCTATTTTTTTGGCATACTTTTTTCATTTGTATTTAATAGTTTTAAAAATATTACTAATAAATAACGCATAAATATTTGTATATTTTAATATACATTTATCATATTCAAAGATTAAAGTAGAGCTCTTGTATCGGATTCTATATCGGTATCTGCAGTATTCTATATCGGAATCAGATCTGTTATACAGCATTGAAAACACTTCTGCTTAATGTGTTTAACATTAAGATTCCTTAACGCAAAGTCCCCATAATGACATAAATGTCCCCATAATGGCAGCGAATGTTTATTAATGATATCTTTTAAGCGGAAAATAATATCTCCTCAAAATGAAAATTATTCAGGGAGCCCGACTGGTCCCCTCTAAGATTAATTTCACTGTTCCTTTTGTGTACCCTTCGATATTTAATTTGGCCTAATTCGCCCAAGCCTAATAAATAGACCTTTGCATTTCAATTATGTTATGTCCCCCAAATATCAAACTATATCCTATATGGATTCTAAGATTCATAACTGAGACGGATTTGGATAATTCGGCTTTACAGCTGTACCTCAAAACGTATACTTCTGTTCAGTACAAAAGAAAACTGTTGCATCGTCGCTTAAACAAAGACTTCACAGAAAACCCATTTCCCCATCATAAGCAGAGTACACTTCTCATGTGCTGTGCTCGCAGGCCTCAGAATAGTACGCAACTCTATGCCCCTGATTCAACATTGCACTCGTGAGATAAATAAGATTAAATAATGATCCCCACAGAGGTCTAATGCGCCAGAATTACAGTGTCTGGATGTTAACTGCTGCGAAAGCATAAACGCTTGGGAACAAGCAACACAAAGCGCATAAAAGTGATGCTTTAAAAAAGTGTCCCCCGTAGAATTGCTGTTCATTTAAATAACGAGTAGTGAAAATGGTGCCCTCTAATGGTGAGAAAAGTCTATTTAAAGCGCTCTTCCAGTTTAATTTTGTCTTTAATTTGTACGACAGTCCACCTTCAGTCCGTATAGTTCATGTCACGGGGGATACAGGGAATATATGTAGCCTAATGGTGTAGGTGTTGGTGAGGAAGAACCATAAGATCCATGTTGTTATGCTCATTAATTCTTTCTCCTTTGGCCAAACTGACTAAACTTTAGCCTAATTTATATTCCGTGAGTCCTCCACAAAATGTTGCCTAAGGGGCTTAAGCAGTTGAGATGCTTCACTGGCGAGCAAAAACAGAACCTGCAAAGTACTCTTGTGAAGGTTAATAAATTAAAGCAGAGAAATGCATTCATAACAAGCGCATGTGGTGCCGAATTTTCTCTACCAGAGACCCAGAATTATACTCTTATAATAAAAAGGCAATCAAGTCTAGTCAAAGGATGGCAAATTACAAGACCACCTGCGCCCAATGCAACATTTAATAACTGAATGATATCACAGCTTTCATTTTATACGAGCACAATTAAAAATTGCATATATGCGTGCTATTTTACAATCATTTGTAGTTTCAACCCCCTAAAATTAAAATAGTGATATGAATAACGGTGCACACACAACACATACCTAACAAAGACATTTGATAAGAGTATGGTCTCCCAGAGTCAACAGTGTCGGGCGTGTCTACAACTATTTTGCTTTTTCTTATTGTAGCACATTGACATTGGATTTAAGAGCATCTGAGACGTTTGTCTATAGTCAAGTACCAAGTCCATTCCCTATAGATCCTACGTGTACACCTTAGGTGGGAGAGCAATGTTTGCAATTAATAATAAAAACAGAAGAATACAACACGCTTCATCTGTCGCTAGATTTAATGTTTCTTCAAAATTTTACATACCTGCCAAGAGCCAGAAGGAATTTCAGCGAATCTGCCCAGCCCGCCAAATGTATAACATCTGTACATGTGGTCCAATGACTCAGAGCAGTGCCAAAGTAAGCCGAAGCTCACGGAGTCCTTATTTTTCAGGTGATCTTTAACAATCCACGCAGGAGAGATGAAACTAAAACTACAGATGGCAACCAGAGCCGAAGATAAGAGGACCCAAAAACAGCCCACACAGCTGAACATCCTCGGAGCTTGGGGCAGCGAGCTCGGAGACAGATCAGTCCCAACCCCGGCTTCTTTCTTTTTCCGATCCAGCAATGAATGCATTTGTTCCGAGCACCCAGAAAACGAAAAAAACCCAAATTCCCATACGTTACATTAAAAACCTAAAAGATCCTAAATATCAGACAGTGAAGCGCCTGAAAAGAATAGACAAAAGATCCAAACATCCGAATGAAATGTAACTTTAAGCAAAAATGGCCCGTCGCTTTCCATCCGCAAACAATTTCATCCAGTACCTCCGTCTCCTTATCTTCGATTTCTGTTGCAATTTCAAAGGCATGGAACAAAACATTTGTCACACCCAAATGTAAATAGTCCGGCAGAGCTCCTCTGCAGCTGTCATGCCGCAGCTGCGCTTCATATCACAATATCTACCGTATCTCTCCCAGGTCCAGTTCTGCATGAAACGAAATCCCGGCTGCGGTTATTTTTAGGTCCGTTAGCATCGATAGCGCAGCAAATGCGCCTCGTTTTCTGATCCTTAGCGGGTCTGTTTTGCCCAGTACAGGTTGCCAGCGGCAGCGGCGGCAGCAGCAGCAGCAGGCGCGGGGACAGAGCCGTCACTGCGCTGCCTCTTAACTCAGAAGTGGGCGTCTCCTTTGCGCTCAATTACACAGCACTGTAATGCCCACAATTAAAAAATCTCAACTTAATTTATGTATATTTAATTTAGCCATGTAAATAATTTATACAGACAAAATGAAAAACAGCTGGAACCTCGGCTTAGAAATAAACTGAATTGAGTTCTGAGGCGACATCAATTTCAGTCCATAACTAAATTTCTTGGCTAAGGAATCAATCACGAAACGAGTCGAATAAGAACAAAGGTAAATATTCACGCCCTGCTGCTAATCATACCATAATTCAGGGCAATAAGTGTTTGCCTACTGTTAAAATATTAACTTTGCTGCACAGATTAATGAAACCACTATTTAATGTTTTATATTGGTTCGTACGCTGTACCTTTCCACCCCCTATTGACCAATATGAGGCACAGCATGCTACACCTTCCCATTAATAAGATTTGGTACGATAGACAGTACAATACAGTTTAATAGTGTACTACTCAGTCATAACATGTATTTACATAATATACCTTAAATAGCCGGTTTATAGTATTAAAGTAGTCATGTATATATATGAAAATAAAATATTTCGCCTAATAACTAAGGTAAAACATTCAAAAGATTTACGCAAATAAAAAGTGGCGTAAACAGCATTACCCGCAGTAATATTTGTTATAATTTTTCAAATTACCATGCCCGAAATGCCTGGCTCAGTAGGCCTTTTTAAAACCATGAATAGTTTCAGAGCAATCTGAAAGACGCCCTCCATGTCCTCCGCTCCGCAGCTCAGGCGTTTTAAAAACCGCTTTAGAAAAGGGAAAGCGTGATACATTTATTCTCACCCGCGTAGCAGGACGCCGGCGGACCTCCCCTCTTCACGGGTGTTGAAAAGCGTCTCCTCGCGCCCATACAACCCAAACGCAGCCAATTTATCTCCCAACAAAGCCACGGCCTAGAAAATGGCCTTAGATCTCCTTTGATACATAGAAACTTTATTATTCCCGAAGGGAATTTCTGAGGTGACTCGTACTACGATTTCTGAGCAAGAATAATATAATTCTTCATATTATTGCAAAATGCATATTCACACTTCTCAAAAGGAATCATGACATTATATTACTTTTTCACATTATTGCCCCGATAAACCAATACAGCTAAGGAATCTTCCTACTATCACCGATTCATTTTCCATAATCTTAGACTTCAGCGAAACAAGGACGACTGCATTTAACACACTAAGAGGCTTCAGTTGGTAAAAACACAAGTTCGACGACATACATTTCAATAGTATGTATTTAAAATCAAACACAACTTAAATATATTATAGATTAAGTACACATATACATCAGAAAACATATTGGCGGTACATAGTACCAAAACAAAAAAAAAACTTCTCTCTGCGTTTAGATATTAACGTGTTTCATAGTAATACCATATCAACTGAGATTACTATCCCGTGAAACGTTTCTCACAGACATGAAATGAAATTTTTGGGCATATATGAAAATAACGAGTGGGGGAAAACAGGAACATTCAAAATTTGGAGTTGACCAGGAAACCACATGAAATGTGTAGCGAGTTTGCATCAATTACAGTTCTTTGCTCCAGATGCGGTTGCGGAACACTGTAAATGATAGTGACGCTTATACGGTGGCTGCAGAAAGGGGGGGGGGGGAGAGCGAACTCACAATGTGGATACTTAAAATACACACAGGGATCGCCTCTAATTAAAACTGTACACAGCTAAACCATAAGGAAACTCATAGAGCGAAGGCGCCTCCTTTAAAATGTTTTAAAAAATAGTCTTCTTAAAACAAAAAAAGGGAATGGGAATACAGAGGAGTGAAACGGTCAGAGTCATCTTCAAAGCACACTCAGAGGAGGAGTCCTTCGTTTCTTCCTAGAAGATCTTTTCGTGGAGACGCAGTGCCCTGCAGCGAGTCTCGACGCTCCCATTCTTCGCGCTACTTCTGCACTTTCCCCACGTTGTACAACTAAAAGTCTTCATAGTGTTTGAGCCAGGGCTGGTGGGGCGGGGGCACACTTTGTAACTTCACACGCACAGCATGATGCAAGAAGTCAGGGAATGCCTCGTTTACTCTTCATTTTAAAATAAAAATACAGTTAACGTCGGTTAAATGCAATGTGCAATTCATCGCCGTCCGGGCTTCAGTGGGGGGGGCGGAGTGTCCTTTGGTAGGTCAGGAGCGTCATAGCTAGAGAGATGGGGGAAGGGGGTCATTCACACTTAAGGATATGGACAAATTATACATGACACATGAACTGGCAAGCAACAAAACTTTGGCGCATGCGCACATTACATGAGGAGAGGGGAAGAGGTCATCACAAATTCACAATTCAGGTTGAGCACACCCATCGACAGAGAACAGCACGGCTCTAAGGTGAATAATTAACCGCAGGTAGAGCCGACCCACACGCCGGCCGCAAACGCACTCAGCGCGTACAGCAGGCAAAGCCCGGTATTTTCATAACTCGGTAATTACTGAGTCCCATGGGAGATGTCTGCGGTAAGACTTAAAGCCCCGGCGTCTAGCGAGCTCATACCTCGGTGTCATTTCAGGGACGGCGTGGAAAGGCGATACCTTAGTCGACTTCGCGTAAGGGCTTTCATAGTCTGCCTGGTGCACCACGTCGTTCACAATCATCTTGGCGATCTTCCAGGCCATCTCCTCCTGGGCCTGGGGAGGGTGAGCACGCACACACGCAGGCAGACAATCATACATCAACATACATATTTAGGATTCAGGAATAAGCACATGGTGGCATTGTTCAGAAAAACTATTTGTGACCATGGTTGCATAACCAAAGTGACATCAGATTATGTTTTCTGATAGAATAAAACACATTTGTCCTCCAGCAAAAGCTGTAGGACAATCAGCCATGAATCAACTTAATAAACGAGGCTATACAAAAGGGGGCAACAAGTGTGATAACAGCCAGACTATGCTTTTAATTCGTGAATGAGCATCCTGCAAATTAATAATTACAGTGGTACCTCGGTTCTCGAACTCACTAGAACTTGAATTTCTTGAAAATCGAACAAACCAGTTTGACCTATAACTCGATCAGAATATCAGAAGTCGAACCGTGAAAACTGACCTAATGTAAATTGTATGCACTAGGAAATGAGTCATACTACAATGCAATTCTTACTTGAATGCCTTCTTCACAGACTGGACGATTAACCAAATAAAGCAGCGCAACATTACAGTAACTAACAATAAATAAACCACTAACTTACATGTACTATTAGAGCATTTATATAATTTATTTAAACTTTATTTTACCAGGTAAATTAACTGAAAACCAGTTCTCACTGCTTTACGTGATATTCGGGAGGAATAGCAGATTACGCATCGGAACTGCCTGGGATACCAACGTCATGCGTGTAACTAAACTCTTCAGCCAATAAGGGCAAAGGTGTGTCGTCACGGAGGCGTTCCAGTTTGTGCAGCCGGGCGAAAGGTCGCAATGCATCTAACCGTAATGCATTGCGTCAGGATCAGAATGCGTTGCTTTAAGCCAGCACTGTAAGCAAGTCGAACCGGACCTGGGGAAACAAACTGAAACGCGGACTTAATACAGAGGACTAATGACAACAACCAGAAACAGCTGATCACATGGGGATCCCACACAAGGTTAACGAGGGGGCGTGGCACACGGAAGGAGCGGACGATCAGGGCAGGACAGGGGTAATGTTGGGATAAAATCGTTTTGGAAGCCATTAAGAAAAAATGCTCATCTCGTTTTATCCTGTTCATTTTGTGTTTAAGTGCTAAAAAAAAAAAAAAAACATATTTAGGTGTAATATTAGGGGACCGGGAACCGAACTGTACTCCAGAACTTTTTAGGATTTGATCCGGAGTCTGGAACAGATTAAATTCGAGAACCGAGGTACCACTGTATTAATTATTGTTACTGATCATTAGAATCTAATTTAATCTAATCTATTTAGAATCTAATCTAATTAACTCTTTAAGTGTGTTGTTCTGCGACAAACATGCAACTCCCTTCGAAATTAATGAAGTATCTATTTAAACAAGGCCTGGAGTACCTCGTCAGAGTTTCCTTGCACCCATTTCTTCATTGCTTGGGAGAACATAGAACCTGCAGGAGACAAAATAGAGCTTCAGGGGGTGAATATTACATACGTGCTGAGGAGACGAGCCACACCAGCTAATGTCAGTGTTTCTAATCAGGATAACCTCCACATGGACATTGTCTTATGGCAGCGGGCCACTGGCTCTGCTCCCTGGCTTTTGTAAAGGTTAGAAGCCCCTGCCTCAACAGATGGTCCTCAAACCTGCCTAACGGAACTGTTTAAAAGTACATCGGCAATTATCAGCTCACTAGATATTTATTCTGGTTGCCCTCACGATTAATTAACCTTAATTATGCTGCTCATTAAATCATAACTCCAGGTTCAGCATCTGTTAACATGCTGAAAAATTTCTAACGATTGTAACAATTTCTAAACAGTTGCCTTGTGAGATTTTTTTTCCCCCAGAGGTGTGATGAAAAAGATGATTCTCATTAAAGACCAGATAATTACTGTAATACATATGCTGACATGATTAGTCACAAAAGCATCAGAGTACCAGAAACATTAAGTTACTCATTAATAGTTATTTTAGGGGTGGCACTGCTGCCTCACACCTCCAGGGCGGGGGTTCGAGTCCCACCCTGTGTGTGGATTTTGCAGTCCCAAGACGTGCAGGCAGGCTGATTGGTGTCTACATTTCCCATAGAGTACGATACTGGGATAGTCTACGGTGCAAGATGGATGGATGGACGGATGCATTGTTAAATAACACTATTAAACAAATGATATCAACTGCACAAGTCAGCATTTTCCAACAGCCCAATTAGGGCTAATGAAATACAAGGTTAGCTGAATGTAATGTCCCTATTAGCCGAAAGTGACATTGTTCCCCTCTCTTTCCTTCCTGTGTGGTGGCACCAAGTGACTGCGGGTGGGAAATGCACTCAGTCACCTTTGGATTTCTTCACGTCCGGTTCTGGTTCAGCCTCCCTGATGAACTGGCCGAGCTCGTTGACCTTCCCGAAGGTCATCCT